GGGGCCCGGCTCGCCCCGCCCTCCACCCGCCCTGCCACCCCTCGCGCCTGGGGGTCTAGGTGCCGCGCCAGGCACCTCCAGCCAGCTCCCAAACCGCTACGGCCACTTCGCCTGGCACTGTCCCGCCAGCAAAGCACGCTGCGCTAACCTTAACATTTTCCAAGCAGCTCCCATTGCGACACGGTTTTGAACGTGCCCAAAACATACCAACCGACCCCAAATTTTTGACTCTCGGTGAATTCCCTTCACACTTCCCCTGTGCAGAGGAGTCACGTCTCTTTTTCTGGCTTTCTGGCCTATTTCTTGCCAAAGCATTGGAAAGAGAGCCATACCAGCACCAGAGGTACCTTAAGAAAGAACAATCTTGTCGTAAAATACAGACTGTTGCCTATTATAAAAGAGTTGATGTCAAGATTTTAGAGATACTAAGGGAAAACGCTGCAATTGAATTGATTTAAGTATTGAAGCTAGGAAAGTGATTAGTCTTGACAATTCACACTGTGATAAGATAAAAAAGTACAGATCAATCTGAAAAGTGAGCAGTAGAAATTTAAGACTGGAACAAGATTAAAAAAAAAAGGAAGGCATTTCAAGGAGATTGCTCAAGAATAATGAAGAGCAATATGGGGCAGTAAGTAAGGAAAGGAGCACTGTGAGAAAGGCCTACAAAGACTCAACCGAATGGCAACAGAATATTCAGTTTCTCGTTAAAAGACAGTTAAGCTGTGGTCCCATGAAATCCTACTCCAATTAAAAGTTGTACTCAAAGCCCTCTACTCTCAGCTCCCCTCTTTTTTTCCCTCACTGTGTTCCACCAGGGCTGGAGCTGAGCCACAGTCTTCTTTTGAAGCACTTCTCACTTTTTCTAGCCAGAGGCGAGGCTACCCACTGCAGAGAGGATCAGCTGGAACAGTTGTTTCTTACTCCTGATGCTCAGAACCACACCATGAAGAAAAAGTTTGTAACAAAAGTCTTGCCCTGCTGTTCATTGAAAAGGATCATAGCCAATTTTTTTTGTAATTCACACGTGCCTACTCTCCAACCTCTATCCCTGTTAACACACGTGCCACCATCTTCTCAGCCTCGCCTGGAAGCGTTACACGCTGTTTGCTTTCTCCCTAATCTCCTCTCTCCTTTCCAGGCCCTCCCTATCACCCCTCCCACACCCCATGCACGCACACACACGTTTCTCTTTTCTTAACAGCTGATCTCAGCTGTGGGAAGGTAAACTGTGTGGTTGCCACATCCAGGGAAACATAACTGGTAGGGAAACACATCAAGGGAGACACCACACATCCCCTTCTCCCTCATAGTGGCAGTTTCTCCCACGAAGAATAAAGATTTACCACTTGTCTTTGTCTCTTACAGCATGCCCTGCCCTTGCTTCTCCTGACTTCTATTCCTTCTCCTCAGAGCCTTCTCTGTGACTCCACGTGCATTCTGAGAGCTGTTATTACTCTGAAACAGAAAGATATTCGGCAGGCCTCATCATTTACAGCATATATAGGAACTCTTCAGTTTATAGGACAGCCTGAGACGTTATTTCAGATAGCCTCCAGCTCTATGTCTTTTCCTTTTATTGGAAAGCACAAACATGTATAGTGGTATAGCTTGCCAATAGTGCTTGAGAGAGCCACCAGACTGTTGGGCAAAAAACAGATTCCTCACCCTGAGAAAAACTGATACCTCAATTAGTATATCCTAATATTAAATACAAATAATATTTTGTCTTTGTATTAAGATGTCATCTAGATAAGCCTTTCAAGCCACAAGCTGTATGATAATCAGACCAACACATAGGGAGTTCTGGGAATAAGCAACATATATTTCTGTCTGGAATCAGCAATGACTTCATCCTTTTGAGGTCAGTAGTAAGACAACAGTTATCAAATTCAAATTAACAGTCTAGTGTCAGATAGAAAAATTTCTTCTGAAGGCCATTCTCTCCTGGGTTTTTCTAATTCGTATGCAGTACTTGGTATTACTTGTTCTAGAAGTGCTGACTAAATACTGCTCTTAAGATTTGGTGAGCTCAGAGCAACAAAAAAATAGATCAGCCCTGCAAAAATATACTCCTACACACACCTGGGGAAAACAAAAATTTAAATTATTTTTTTCATCATCATTGCCGTAAATGTTGAAGTAGTGGATTTTTGTGCCTGGCAATTTTTCATGACAACAGCATAATGCTGATTTAAAGTGCTGAGGAGTCAGGTCACATCTACTCCATTTAAAACCAAGTAGTTTTAAAAGGAAGATAAAAATCACTCAGTATGCTGACTCATCCATTATGGCAATTTAAATATTAAAACTGCTGATACTTATCTTCATTGTGAGCCAATGTGCATTCCATCAAAGCTGGAATTACTGCAATCTGGTTTTTATTTACTCTTGTGCAATGAATTCAATTTGCAATTAGCTCTTTTTAAATCTGTCACTGGATTAGTTTAAACAGCAATTCAGATCCAATTCCTGTAGATCATAATGAGAATCAAAATCTGATCTTTTTAAGAGTACTATGTCAAAGGACTTCCATAAAAGTATGTTTAATTTACAGTCTTCATTGAAAGCAAGAATGCATAGATAAGTTATTGAAATAAACGGTCATTCATACACACAGCTGCTAAAATGAGTGAGGAGCTTATGAGATCAAAGCCTTCTAGTATCACCTGGTCTAACACCACGACCTCAATGAATCATATCCATATCACAAAAGAAAGGGCAGCAATCTGAACTCTTACTGAGTCCCCAGAAACAGAGGACTGCCATGTAACCTGATTTTTCTTTCTGAACATTTAGATTGGGGCTACTTATACGGCAGATCAAGACCACACACATATTTTGTTCCCACTTCACCACCATAGAAGACTTAGCTCCTATATCCGCAAGACACCCATTATTTCTTACCATCTTTGCAAACTTGGAGAGCCACTGAAGAGTGTATTAATTACTGGCTGGCCCAACTGATCCACGCACCACTAGCATACCCCTGCCCCCTAACTGAATCCCAGCAGAAAGGAACTAATAGGCATGATCTAACCGTTTCAGTAACACCAGGGCACGGCACAGCACAAGCATCCCAGGGGCATGACCTAGGGGCAACAGATCAGTCTGCACATAATGCCCTTCTTTTTACTTTTGCCACCTTAATTCCTACAAAAAGGTACATTAAAGGAAGCTGATATTAGCTGTATTTTCTAAAACATGACAAATATCTTTTCATTATTACTTATTTGCTGTAACACAAAGGCTTGAAAGATCTACAGTGTTTACTAATAAATTATATTCAATTATATTACTAGATCATATAATACACCTCTGAAAAATGATACTTCAACTAATCCATTCTACCAACAAATATAAATAATGTTCTCCCTGCACGTTAAGACCTCATCTAGATGAGCAAGAGCACAAAGACCAAAAGGAGCACATGCAGTGTTATCCGCCCAAAAGCAAACGCATTAACCCAGACTCTGCTGGTGCTGGGGCATCTGCCAAAGGATGGTTGTGATCATCATCTATCTTTCATTTCTGAAACTCTGAGAGTAGAAATTCCCCCTCTGTGGCATACCAGAGCCTGTGAGACACCTTCCTACAGGGCATAGCACAACTCCTGCACAGGTAGAGACAGTGACAGTCTGAGACACTGAGTGAGGAAGGGCATCCACACAGATACTGACATACTCAGTGGCACCTTTTCAAAGGCAAAGTCCTCCAGAAAAATCAGATTGTGTGGGGAGCTGAGAGATTACTAAAGATAAATAAATCTTTAGCATCACGGAGGTTTTCCCACCCTCCAAGCCATTGCCCAGAAACTTTAACAGTACAGCAATATTTCACAGTAAGTTCTTTGATGCCAATATTCTAAAATATTTAAATGGTGCAATTACTTTTGAAAATTAATATTCCCTTCTCCTCTCGCCTCCAAAAAGCCCTGCAACTAGGGTACAGTTTTGGCCAGCCTTCTTTATTTGCTCGGATGCTTTCTGAGACCTCCTTCTCCGTTAAAATCCAAAAATGGACTTCTGCAGAATGTACAGTCCAAGTCCAGACATCCAGAACCCTCCCTTCATTCCCATTTAATTTAACCTTGAAGAGATGAATGTACTTTTAGAAAAATGCACGAAACCTGTCAACAATTTATGAGCTGTAAGCATTTAAATAAGAAAGGATAAAGGTCAAACTAACAGGGCACAGCAGGACTTTTACTTCTACTTTGTCCTTAACATGTTTTTGTTATGCCTCAGTTTTACCTTTTGAAGAGAGAACAGACTGTAAAAAGTGATTCTACTCTATGCTAAAGTGAAGCATTAATTCTGATTTAAGCAGAAGTAAAATGAGCTGCAAGAGGATAACTGAATTTATTTGTTCCTTAACAGTGTTCACAAATAAATCATTTAAGCACCTGCAAATGCACACCAGACAACCCAATTCCTTTTAACTGGTGTAACAGCGGACAGCTGGTTTTACATTTTCAGCGTACCTGAAATTTCTCTAGTGCTACAAGTTTCATTAATAAAGTGCATTCAAAATCTTGACAAGACAGATGAATTAGTATTATCTTATTTCAATGTAAGGTTTAACCACTTAAATAGAGACTTCCACCCAAACCTTTTAACATCTTCCTCTTCATTTTCCTCTGTGCCTGAGTTAGAAGCCTCTCCGTTTTCCATCAAGGCTTCGTAAGTCTTTTGTGCTCGAACAATTTCTTTGTCTGCACTGAAGTGCACCATTTGTCTGCTTAAAATAGGAACAACTAAATTGAAGTTGTCAATTCTTTTGTTTAATTTCCTGATATCTTCTACAAATTGCTCACAAATACGATTCCATTGCTTTTGCCTATATGGTGTCATTGGCCCTCCAAGCTTACTTCTAGATGCCACTATATTCTTCCTTAACCGCTCAATAGTTTCCCGTATTTCTTTCTGCATCAGGATCCACTCTGGCTGATATCCATTGTCTATCAGAATCCTGTTCAAGTTGTGAGTCATAGGGTCGATATGTGGACAGTCTGAAAATTTCTGCAAAGGTTTTCCTTTGCCACTGAGGTTGTCAAAGTCTCCTTTTGCCATCGATTCCTGGATGAGGTCCTCAACCAACCGTTCAACTGCCTGAGTTATTTTCACCTTTTTGCTCTGCCTCACATCTTTGGCTTTCATTACGTCAGTCACAGCATACTGGCTTTCAAGTCTCTGCTTCCGGTACTCCAACACTTGTTCAGTAGCACGGTCTACTCGAAACTGCATGTATTGCTTTTCTCTTTGGCTTGGTGTTCCAAAACCAACACCTTCAAAACTCAAGTAGTGTCTATGCTGTGGTGCTTTTGATTTGAACTGATCTTCCTCCTCTTCATTATTCTCGTTTGATTTCTTTTTGGTTGCCACATCACTTAGCACGACTCTGTACGCTTCTTCTACTTTCATAAATGCTTCGGAATCAGCTGTGGCAGAACCGCTGTCTGGATGGTATTTTTTAGCAAGACTTCGATATGAATTTCTGATATCATCAAGGGAACATCCTTCCTCGAGCTCAAGAATTTTGTAAGAGTCCTTGATGTTGCTTTTAGGTTTGTAACCTGACAACATTAGGGAAACGGCTTCAGGTTTCTTGGAATCATTGCTCGATGTACCATTAAATGATGCCCTATGTTGTTAGTCAGCATGACACAAAGCCACTTTATATTTCTTCAGGTGCAGCTACATTATAAACAATGACCTATAAACACATTTTTATAAAAATTGTGTTAAATATGCTTCTTAAAAGAACTTACATGATTTAAGACTTATCTTTAACTTGTTATATTATTTAATGAAATCCCTACAAAATTTCAGAACAGTATGCGGTGTTCTTTTCTTTCACAGACTAATACTGAAATCTGCATTTCTTATTAATTACTACTGAAGTAGTACTATTACAATGTAAATGAAAATTAATTCACAATATAGTTTTCTCCTGGTATAGCAACAATAACATAGGTTTGTCTTGCACTGCAGAATTCCCAAAAGGCCAAAGCTTTATTGCGTTTCTGCAAACTCAGTGCAACGTAAACTGGAAATATGCTTTATGTTGAGTGGTAACTCTGCTGAAACAAATCTCTCCCTTTTCCTCTATATACCTACATTCAGCCATCAGCTGAATTTTCTATTCACATACATCAATGCCTCAAGATCTACTACCTGGTACATTCTCAAAGGATTTCATTACAGTACCCTTTCGGTATTTTGCAACAACAACTGAAGTAGCATTCAGATTATAGATTCATCTAGATTAACTCTTGTATCCCAGCAGGATACAGGGCTCTCACATTCTAGTGGCTAACCTCCTTCATTTGTGCCCGGTAAGGTTATAAATCTGGAACTCAGAACACATCAATAGCAGACAGTATCTCATTCCGTCAGGAATACCAGTGCTTCTGAATGATCTTGGGAAACCGCAAAAGGAACACCTTTAGCAAACGACAACAGAAGTTAAGTCTTCACGTAAAATCAAAAGTAGAAAAATATCATCCAAACTGCACACACAATTTACATATCAGCTAACTTCTCTTTATTAATGAAAATCCTAAGACAAATGCCAAATACATGGTCCTAAAGAGTCTCCTTTTGCAGATTCAGCGTCCTTTTGCAGTGACTGCAACATATCCTTTGCTGACTTCCTTTCCAAACAAAGAACTAGGCTGAATCAAGGTTAAGTTTAAAGAATAAATAGTGTTTGTATGTTCTGCATGTAACAAACTGCCCTTCTGCAGTAACCCGCCTGAAAAAAGAGACAGGAAAGATGTTCTTGGGACTGGAGGAAACACTGGATCAATCCTGAATATTTTCAGTTGATTTTGATCCAGGCAAGGTATTAAATCATTGGCTTGTGGTTATTTTAATGGACCTTATTAATTTTTTGTTTGTTTGTTTATGATATAGATTAGTGACTTCTCTCCTTCGAGGTGGTTGGCAAAGACCATGATTTAGTTCCATATGCTCATAAAAATCCACGTAACTACTACTTGAATGGAAAGATC